TAGGGGGGGGGGGGGAGCCAGTCGCTTCCTCTGTCTGAGCTGTGCTCTGGTCACTTGTCCACCAGCAGCATGAGGCCCAGTTTGCAGGGGGGATGGGGCTACCAGGGGTCAGTGTGGACGGCACAGCAAAGACAGCTGAATGTAGGCGCGGCTGAGAGGGGGTGGGGAGGGTGAATGGAGACCCCTGGGGCTTCATGAGCCCTCAGGTCAGGTGCAGACACGGCTTGGGTTTTTGGGCCCCCCCCCCCCCCCCCGCCCCCGGCCACTCCTCTGCCGGGCGGGGCTCACATCACCCTCTGTCATTCCAGAAGTCTTCTGGCCTCCTTCCGACACTGACAGAGGGAGTGACATGGTTGAGGTTCTCCCTGGTGACCAGCAAACACAAACCCGGCACTTTTCCCAAAATTGAGATTTTACTAGGAGGTGGGGTAAGGCCTGGGCTGATTCCTCGGTGGGCCGAGCCCTGGAGAGGGCAGCCTCTTGGGCCCTGGAGACAGGGGTCCACGGAGCACGCCTTTCCTACTCCATCTCCCTCCCGGCCGGGCTTTGAAGAGTTCCTTTGCTTTGAGGATGCAAGTGATAGTGTCTCTTGCCCTGACAGACAGGCTTCAGAGGAAGCAGGTTGGCATGAGGGTGCGGCTGGAAATAGCGTGACCTCCCCCGTGGGTCATTTCCAAGTTCTCACGACTGTAGGAGCCAGATGTGGATTCTGAGTGTGCGTCCTCGGGAAGCCTTGTGACATTTCTGTGTGGTTTCCCTGGGTTGGCTGCATCTCTGCTTTCCCAGGACTGCCCTGCATCCCAGGGAGGTGGCAAAGGGGTGCACTTGGTCACAGCTGTGTCTCAGTGGAGCTCTGCCAGCACCACCTCTTTCCCAATGCACTCTGCCAGCGCCACCTCTGTCCCCCGTGAGCCCTGCCCGCGCCGCCTCTGTCCCCCGTGAGCCCTGCCCGCGCCACCTCTGTCCCCCGCGAGCCCTGCCAGTGCCACCTCTGTCCCCTGCGAGCCCTGCCAGCGCCACCTCTGTCGCCGTCAGCCCTGCCCTCCAGCGTGGGAGTGGGCTGGCAGCAGGGGGTTGCTATACTTGGTTTCCATGACGAACTTCACCACCTCTGACCTTGGGCAGCTGGGGTGGTGGGTTGTGTAGGACTCCATCCTGAACTGCTGATGCCGTTCTCTGAGGTGCTGGCTTCCCCAGGTCCAGATAAGCCCCCCAGAGGGTGTGTGTTTCCCGTGGCCTTGCGGGCTGATTTTGGACTGGCCACCCAGGCTTCTGGCCAAAGTGTGCACAGCCTCGTGTATTGGGCCTCGGCCTGGGGCAGCCAGCTCGAAGGAGGTCTGTGCCCTTTGCTGCTGGAATTGGCGTGTCGCTTCCCCTGCAACCCAGAGGCTTACATTTCTTTAGATGCCGCTTCTTGGAAAGGACACTTTCTGTTTCTGGCCCAGGGCACCGGCTGTGTGGATTCCGGCCCTCACGGGCCCCGCAGGCAGTGTCCTCATTCCAAGCCCCTGGGTGTACTGATCTCACAGAGTCAGGGCCTTGCCTCTGGTCTAGAACCTCGTAAGAAGCATGGTGAGGCTTGTCAACACCCTCCTGTCTCACGCTGCCGGGTCCTGGTTTGATGGGTAGAGAAGGGAGCCCAGTGGGGGTCGGGACAGACTGATTCCCACCAGTAGAGCTGGGGGCTGTGGGCGTCTGGGCTGCTCAAACCACAGACAATCCCTGTCTCCAGTCCTGGAGTCTGGAATCTGAGATCCAGGTGTGGGCAGGGAATGGTCCCTCCTGAGGCCTCTCTCCCTGGCGTGTAGACGGCCGTCTTCTCCCTGTGTCCTCACGGGGTCGTCCCTCTGTGTGTGTCTGTGACCTGACCTCCTCTTCTTATAAGGACACCAGTCCTGTGGGATTAGGACCCACCCTAGTGACCTCATTTTACCTTCCTCACCTCTTCAAAGACCCCTATCTCCAAATACAGGCACATTCTGAGGTCCCAGGGGTTAGGACTTCAACACAGGGGTTTGGGGGAGGACACCATCCAGCGCACACAGGGGCTCAGTTCAGGTCGTGGCGAGGAGGAACTCCATGGCTGCCTCAGGGTCCTGACTGTCATGTGCGACGGGGCGGCCCGTCCTTACACGGTCTCTGGACTGCTGAGGGCCTGGGCGCCGCCCGGATGGAAGTCGGACCCTGTGTCCCTTCCATCTCAAGTGCTGGCTTGAGCCTCTGTGGAAGGAAGACTCTCTTGGTCTCCACCCGTCTCTGCTCCTGTGTCGGGGTGAGTTCTGCACATGGCGGGGTCCCATGGGGGGATCGGTGCAGAACTCACGGTGTCCGTGTCCTTGGTGGCTGGGGGCCTCGATGACGGTGCCGTACGTGCCCTTACCTGCCTTTCGCGTTCTTTCCGACACAGTGCCCTTCCGAGAGGCCCCGGCGTACTCCAACCGAAGGCGACGGCCCCCCAGCACACTGGCCGCCCCCCGGGTTCTGCTGCGTTCCAACAGCGACAACAACCTCAATGCCAGCGCGCCTGACTGGGCCGTCCACTCGGCCGGCCCCCACCGCAGCCTCTCGCCCCAGCTGCCGCAGCAGATGCTCAGCAAGCCCGACGGGGCCGTGAAGACCCTTGGGAGCTACACCTCCGGACCCCGCAGCCGATCCCCCTCGCTCAACAGGCTGGGCGGCACCGGCGAGGATGGCAAGAGGCCCTGGCAGCCCTGGCACGTCGGGTAAGGAGCGGCCGGGTGGGTGGGTTCCCATGGGGACCAGGGAGAGGGAGACCTCCTTGCTCGGAGCCCCTGGATTCTAGAACTCAGGGCGGGGCCAGAGGTTGAGCAGAACACCTGTTTTATTCCAACCCGATGTTAAGAACACTTGAAAACCAAACTTCTGCCAACTGCCCTGGCTCAGACCCTCACCTGAGAGCAGCCGGGGTGGCTTGGGTTGCTGCAGGTGTTTGGAGCCCGTCTCCTTTCCCTGTGCGTTGGCTTCTGGGTCTCAAAAGTGAAGTGTGGACAGACAGGGAGCTAAGGGCACCAGCCTGCCCTGGGCTGAGGGCTCCTCCAGGGGACACTTTTTTCTTTGTTTCTTTGTTTGTTTTATTGGAGTAGAGTTGATTTACAATGTTGTGTTAATTTCTACTGTACCACAAAGTGACTCAGTTACACATATATATATTCTTTTGGATGCCGTTGTATGCTCTTTTATCATTATGGTTTATCCCAGGGGATTAGATACAGTTCCCTGTGCTGTACAGGAGGGCCTTGTTGTTCATCCATCCTCTGTATAATCGTTTGCATCTGCTGATCCCAAGCTCCCAATCCTTCCCTCCCCCACCCCCCTCCCCCTCATCAACCACGAGTCTGTTCTCTATGTCCGTGAGTCTGTTTCTGTTTCACAGATAGGTTCATCTGTGCCATATTTTAGATCCCACGTATAAATGATAACATACAGTATCCGTCTTTCTCTCTCTGACTGATTTCACTTAGTATGACAATCTCTAGGTCCATCCATGTAGCTGCAAATGGCATTATTTCATTCTTTTTTATGCCTGAGTAATATTCCATTGTATATACACCACATCTTCCTTATCCATTCATCTGTCGATAGATATTTAGGTTGTTTCTCCAGGCGCCATGTTTACCGTCAACGCACCTTAGCCAGAATGAGCCCTCACATTCGTAGCCACCAGAAACCCTGGCACAGGTGAGGCTCTGAGGGGGCCTCATCCAAGTGCTGGAGCCTGACGACCACCCCCCCCCCA